TTATATACAGCACTTTGGCATTTGGCACTGCATCTGAGAGCTCAAGCCACTCTGCATATTCCTGCAGCCAGCAGAACGTGGTGTGCATGGCCCACAGTCAGATCTTAAACTAACACAGCAAGGGGAGAGTCAATAAAACATCGAGTTAAAATGGATCAGCTGTCTGAAGGGATCAGAGTGCATCTGCTGTGCTGCAGGTCGCTCCCTAGAAGTTAAGTCTCTGAAGACAAATGGGATGTTTTAACAAAGGATCATGTTAGAGAGGGACAGAAAAGAGAACACACAATATCAGGATTTGCTTTGTCATAAACCTCCCTCAGCAAGCAACGGGTTCAATATTAATAATGCAGTAAAGTAAGCAGCAGCTCACCTTGAACTCTAATAGCAAGGTTCTGACAAGTTCCTGCAATTAAATGTCCAGGCTGCTCGGGCTGATGGCGAGAAAACCAGTGGCTTTCAGAGAACGAGAGACAAAGGCAGAACTACATAAGCTCTTCCATCCCACCTCGTTATACTCACTGCTGTAATATGTATGACTTACATGTTAGTTAAACATTTTTTTTAAATGCCCTAAGAGCCATTTTCAACAAAAACATGCCAGTGCATCATATCTCCATGGGACTTATGCGAGGCCAAACACAGTTTGAATGAGATGGAAGCTCCTAAGCATCCATGGCATGTGAAAATGGCATGCATGAAACCGTGTCACCTATGACAGGACTGTCAAAATTCTGGGTAGAGTTTGGCTCCAGAAGAACACCCATATTTAAAGCACCTGAGCTCCCTCACAGGGTCAGTAGTGCCTAGAGAGGAGGTAGGTTCAGTAAGTGCTTTAGCTGGCTCAGCCAAACTGCTTGCCATTGACTAGATCTCTGTAAACTACAGAGAAAAACTAAACATCTAGTCTTAGCTGTTCTTCAGCTTGATTTCAGCCTCATCATCATACACAGAAGACTTTTAGACACTGAGCTCCAGGGATATCTAATGCCAGAAACAACTTCATACTTCCCAGGAAACTATAGGATTTCCCAGGCTGCCTATAGGACCTACAAATTAAAAGTGCCTCTACCTGACCCTCCCACTGCCATTTTCAGGTCAGGTATTACAAAAAGAAAGGAAGACAGCACCTCTCAGTTGCAGCCAGTCACTCAAGCTTAAGTGCTCAGCTGGCACCAGGAGGGCTTGAAGCAGCTCTCCCACGTGGGAGAGGTTTTATTTTTCATTCCTGTTGCCCAGGAGCACCAGCTGAGCCCCAAACCTCTCTGGAGAAAGGGCCCCACAAGCTCTTCTGGGTCAATCTGTTTCAGTTTGCATCAGTAACTCGACCAGGCAGTTGGTCAGGTTAGGCAGGAGATTATCTCATGGAGATATCACTGCATGTAATGCAGGCACAGTCTGGTCTCACCGCTGCTGAAGACATTTCCCCTGAAGGCTAAATCTTACTCCAAAGCTGTCTTGCACTTAAAAGGGCAATCACAGCAGTAATACTATCTAAATATAGGAATTTAGCAGCTTTGGGAAAAAATCACTCTGCGATTTCCTGCACCATAACACCTTGGTAGCGTTTAGTGAAGACAGGTTTGACAACAGAAATGGTTCACAAGTTCTGTTTGTCAGGTATGTTCTCCTATAACTCATATCAATGACAGCTGAGAGAGCTAAGCAGGGAACAGCCTGCTTTGGCTTTAGTTTGCTGAGGGGGAGAAAACAACAGCTGACATCCCACTAACTTAATTTTTAGATCTTCAGGCACAGAGAAGAGTTGCAAGCATTTTTTAGTTCATAGTAGTACTCGCTTCTTGAACAATGACTCAACCCAACTTTTTGAAACCTCGGTATCACTTTTTACCAGATTACCTATAACCCCTTCCTTTTTCAGTTCTTTTTGGGAAACTAGAATTTTGCCTTTTTTTTTTCCCCCCTCATCTCGCAGGGAGCAAGTAAACGCCTCTCCAATCAGATACCCCTGATCATCCTGTCTTCTGTCCTTCACGACTTCGGAGAAAACATTCAGAGCACAATGCTGCACCTTTTGCAAGATAAAGACAAGTTAAACCTTCTCCTTGAGGAGGACAGTGAAGCTGCTAAACACAGGAACTATCTCAGTCAACGAGTGGATCGTCTCACCAAAGCCTGCCAGTACCTGAGGGACTTCTCCGCGCTGTAATTTGTTTTTCATAAGCATTTTTCTTGTTTTCTAGCATTATTGAAGAATTTTGTATAATCCCCTAAACATTTAATGTCATCCCAGACCGTACCTTTAACACTCATTTCTAGTGCTCAGCTCTGCTTTATTCTCTATAATCAGTTCCATGCAAGCAGCCACCTCTACATCAAGGGCTCCACTGGGGTGGAGCTGTGACTAAACAAATGTAACCCCTCTTTTTTGCTTCATGAACTCTGTACAACCATTGAAATGATTATTAAAAAGCTACCACTCCGAGGGTTATGTTTTGTTGTCTTTCCTGCCGTTGCCTATGAGATGGCTCTGCAAAGTGCCACCACTGTTAAGTGTCAGCCCAGTAGGCAGAGAGGGAACAAACAGTGGGAATGAAACAATTACAGCCTGGAAGGAAAACAGGAGTTTACTTCATCTGATGGGTACCTCCACAGGATGCCACTGGCTCTGCTGAGTCTCCTTTTTCAGTGCTCTGATTTGCAGAGAAAGGGTAAGAGGCTCTTTCTCTTGGAAGCCCAGAGCATCACCTGAAATTTTGGGACTTATGGGCAATTCAATACGTGGCAGGATTTGAACGTCCCAAAATGGATTAAACCACCCAGGATGTTAAATATTAGAAGGCTGTCTCAGCGTGTGGCTTGCTGCCTTCCCCCTTCCCCTCCCCAGGGCAAGAAGAACCTTTCCAAAACCTCTTTCACTTTCATGGAAGCCACTGCAAAATATATCACTGCCCACTGTGTTCATGACATCTTTCATATGGAGGATTTATTTTAATGGGCAAAGCTGTGCTTTGTGTAGCAAAAGTAATGTCTGCATTCAGCTAGGAAAGAAAAAAAAAAAGTGCTTATACCAGTGTGCCATGTAGTAATTTCCAGGATCCTTGCAAGAGAAGCCTTTTCCTCAGGCTATAAATGACAGAAAGTGTTTGACCCTCTTACAGGAAACTGCAGCTGATGGCTGATTTCCGTGGCACAGCGTTCACCCCACTACAGCACAGCTTCCTTAACGCTGCTGATCACTTCAGACAAGTTTTCCACATTTCACTAGACTGTTTTGCTACTAGAGGCTATAAAAAAAAAAAAATCCTGATACCATAACAACTTAATTTATTTAATTTCTACTTTGAAAGCACTTTAAACTCGCTGTGTCACGGTATCCCCCAGGGTGCACTTGATGCAGACGTGCTATTGGAAACACCAGTCCCACCCCTAGAGAAGAGAGGCAGGTACACATTGCTCGAGGCAGTGTGAGATGCAGTAACAAAACAGGGTGTGACTCCCTCAAGCCACTGCCTGTAGGCCAAACTTCCTTATTTAATTTGATTTCACAAGTCAAGTGCGATTCCACCAGACCCAACCACCACGTTCAACATTCCAGGACATCCAGCTGTCTTTCCCTGAGGTTTGTTCAAGGACCTGAAGCATTGGAATTTAAGCAACCTCTTGGATCACCCTCTTGGGTTGTTTTTCTATTGTTTGTTTGTTTTTGTTTTTAAAATCAGATTGCCAAAGCACTTCAGACACCGAATCCAGCAACTGCTTCCAAAAAAAAATCCAAGCAAACAGATACAAAGCACTACCAAGGAAAACTATTTGTAAAAAAAAAAAAAAAAAATTTATTTGGTGCAGTGTTTACATGTAAGATAATTACATCTCAGTACCAAAAGAGAAAACAAGACTAGTGGAGTCATTTCATTCAATAAAGATTTATCCTTCTTAACAAAGTGACTTGATATGGCTTTTTGATCCTCTGTACTACGATTATAAATTATTTTCAAAATCCTAGTTGAGGTGGCACTCAGATATTAATTGCTTTGCTAAAAAACATAGAGGCAGATATATAAAGGAGAGCTCTAAGGAATCAGAAGCCAAATTTAATAAATGAGGTAGTTCATCTGGTTATGCAGAAACACGGATCCGTGCTTCCTTGTATAAAACATCCAGTCTCTGCAATCCAAGGTCTTGCAACACAGCCTTGCTGGAAAGGTTTGCCCTTTGCCTTTCACAGCGGGGAGAGGTCAAAGAGTCAACCTCGATGTGCACAGCCTGTCGCTGGGACACCTCACTCACCACCCCTGACATCCCTCTCCACACCTGGCATCCCTCTCCACACCTGGCATCCCTCTCCATAGCCTACAAAGAAAATGATGGCAGGGGTTTCCCTTTTCTGGGTTCAGAGCAGCTTTTAAGGCAGAACAGCACTTTTAATGGCTGAGGCAGCCACACTGGCCTCTCACTGGACAATCTGACTTGGGGGACTGCTGTGTTGAGATCCTGAGGATTTTTAACTACCTGAATGTAGAGGTTTGGTGGTTTTTTTTTTTCCTGTGCCTCTACTGTAGTGCATGAAAAAATCCCTTCATATATACTCCTCACGCTCTACTCTGCTCTCCTGAGACCCCACCTGGAGTGGATCCAGCTCTGGGATCCGCAACAGGGACCTGTTGGAATAAGTCCAGAGGAGGCCACAAAGGTTGCACAAGGGCTGCAGCACCTCTGCTGTGAGGACAGGCTGGGGTTGTTCAGCCTGGAGAAGAGAAGGCTCCAGGGAGACCTTAGAGCCCCTTCCAGCACCTAGAGGGGGCTGCAAGAGAGCTGGAGAGGGACTCTGAAGAAGGGCCTGGAGAGACAGGACAAGGGGTAGTGATGTCAGACTGAAAGAGGGTAGGTTTAGATTTTGGGAAGGAATTCTTCTCTGTGAGGGTGGGCAGGCCCTGGCACAGGTTGCCCAGAGAAGCTGTGGTTGCCCCATCCCTGGAAGTGTCCAAGGCCAGGTTGGACAGGGCTTGGAGAAACCTGGTCTAGTAGGATGTGTTCCTGCACGTGGCAGGGGGTTGGAACTGGATGAGCTTTAAGGTCCCTTCCTACCCAAACCACTCTACGATTCTACACTAAAAAAAACCACATTAATTTCTTTTTAAATTGCCAACCAGCAGCTCAGAGATTCGACATTCACATTACTTAACATTTAATTTAAAAACTACTAAACCAACTGTCTCAGCATCCTGCTACGAAAATCTTAAATTAAATTGTGATTTAAATTGCCATTATAAGCCTGTACCTGATTATCAAGTGAAAGTTACTCAACTAAAGAGAGGCATTTCAGCAAGCAGTTGACAGAATGACTTTCTGCCAGGCACCACAAGGAGAAGAAAGGTGCTCATTGTGATAATCCTTCACTGATTACGATCAGTCACTGTAGCCAGCACAGAACCAAGTGTGCAATCCTTCATGATATTTTTAAAAAGAAAATTCAAAGAGGAAAATAAAAAAAAAAAAAAATCAATTGCAAAGTGAATAAATATCCCAGGCACCCATGGCTTCATTTATTCTTGTCCTCAGGAACATCATCGATCAGCAAGGGCAGACGAGTCATCATCTGTTTGCCTGTTTAAGAGACGAAAAAAAAGAAAAATCAAAGGTTCAAGTTCTTATCAATTGTCTTATCAACTACTTGGATGCCTCCCAACAGAACAGGGCAGACAAGTCTCATTTATTTATTTATTTTTTAAAATAAAATCGTGTTTCAGGATTTGGGACACGTAAAATTAAAAAAAAAAAAAATCCAGATATTTTACCTGCATATTTCTGTAAATCCACTCTGTAAACACAGTCATATTCCCGTACACTCCAGGTTTATTGGGAGTGGCACAGCCAGTTCCCCAGCTGGTATCTCCAACCAGCCACCACACAGAGTTTTTGTTAGTCACTAGTGGGCCTCCACTGTCACCCTGCACAGAACACAAGCATTTAATTAGTCATCTGGCCACCAGGAAAGACAAGATCCATTGCACTGCAGGAATACAGGTTAAGTTTGCAAAAAAAAAAAAAAAAAAAAAAAGCTAACCACCATTTTAGGGAGTCACTAAAAGAAAATGTGGTGGCAATTCTGGCATTAAATGATGTCTGCTTGCAACAGGGATGAAAATCATTTGCCCAGGGCCCTGAGTAAGACCTGCATTATTGACTGTTCACAAGCATTATTGCTGTGATTAATAACATAATAATGCTAATAATGCTGTGATTAGGAAGAGCATTTGATAACTTTCAAGTACCAGATAACAAGCCATCCTTGAAGCATTAATAAGAACTGCCTCACCCTCTCCGGGTATTCAGTGAGAACTCGAACTGGCAGCCATTCAGAAGATGAAACAAAAGCTTTTAAAGGGATGCACCACAAAAGGAACCTGAAGACCAACCAAATTCTATGCAAACCTTTAATTTTGAGGGCAGGGCATAGGATTTGTTTGTGTGAGAGAGAAAGACCACAAAAAAAAAAATAAAAAAAATCAGATCATCATTAGGTGCTAATTAGGAATAATTACCTGACAGGAATCGACTCCTCCTGCTAAATTTCCAGCACAGATCATGGTAGGCAAAATCATGCCATTATAGATATAGAGAGAATTACACCTCGAACGTTCTATTAAGGGCACCGCAACATAATTCAAGTTATTTGATGTTTTGCCTGAAATGGAAAAGACAAAATTAGCATAGGCATCACACTTCAAGTTGCTACTACAAATCCCAGCAGCCAGCACTGTGCAGGATGAAATAATCTTACTAGAAGCAGCAGGATGGACTTTTAAAATATAAGAAGTCTGCAAGAGGTGGTGAGGAGCTCCCCACAGCTCCAGGGTGCAGCATCAGCTGCCAGCAATTCCCATATTCAGTGCTCAGCTTCCTCAACTTCCCCATCCCCACCCAGTACCTTCTTACACTGAAAGAAACCTTTCCCTCCCTTTTTTCCTTTTCCATTCTTACAAATGGGCTCCTGCCCTTTCCCACCTCCACAGGACCGGTCTGGCGCACAGCAATCCTTGTTACAGGAGAGGTGGCCCTGCTGGCAGGGGCACAGAATTGTTTCCTGGGTGAATATTTCTGGCCCCCAGTGCCGATTCGAGGGTCCTCTGGAGTCTGCTGAATGCAACAGATCTCAACTAGCTTTGAGACAGAATGCCCTGTGTAAATACTGGGGACTGTAAAAAGGGGTGAAAAAATAGCGTATCAACAGAGCAAACTGCCCAATCAGCCCATGAAATGGTTATTCTGAAGAGGACTATTTATTTGGAAGACCAGAACCACCCTTTACCTCCTTGGTACTCTGCTCCCCACCCGGATATCCAGCACTGCTGATTAGGCTCGAACATCATTCCTGGATTTGGCAGACAAACTGGCCGTACAGTTTCTGCAAAAACAAACAGAGTGACATCTGTAATCCCAGATGTGCAGACAGAATTCAAAATAAATGCAGATGAAATGCTCAGCAGCACCATCACCACTTACACACCACACATTTTCTCTGCACTTTGCCTTCCTTGCAGGTGAGCAACACTGGGAATTGCAGGCAGCAGCAGAAAGTTTACCAGCTGCCTTTTGCCTGAGGACTCCTCACCTCAAATGTGCTTCATCTTCACCTCTCAGCGAGGAACAAGCAATTAGAGGTTCTCACTCAATTAATCAGGCTAATCAGAACAATTAACACCAGCTCTTCAGGTCAGTAGAGGACAAAAAAGAGGAAAAACTTCAGACAGCTCTGCATTCTCTTTGCAAACCTCTGCTGAAAATGATTTCTCTGCAAGCAGGATTCAGTGCCTATATATATACAAGATGTGTGCAGCACAAAAACCTGTTAAACAGACACTCTCCCTCCTCTCAACAGCAGAAAATCCTTTCCAGAGTTCTAGTAGGTTTAAGCTGATGCACTGAAATACAAAGAACTTGTAGAGGAAAAGCACTGCAAGTTAAATAACCATTTGTTATTTTGTACTCCTTGCTTACAAACAATCTACATCTATGTTTATGAAAGGAACTTCTTACAATGTTTGGTTCTGGTACTGGGTTTTTTTTTTACCATCATTTGACCTAAATTGATTTAGGATGTAGTCAGCTGCTCCACTAAGGCACATACAGCAGTGGCAATACTTGAGCACCATTCTGAAGTAAAAGTACATTATTGAGATGAGCCCAGACCTCCTGCACATGTAAAAGATTTAAATAAATCCTACTTAGGAAACCGGAGGCTGTGCCCTCAGTATTTACCTCCACCCTGTCTCTGAGCTGTCTGTACCCAAATTTGTGTTCTTCCCATAAGTACCCACAGGGATTTCTTGATGAAACTCAGAAGTTTTAAAAGATGTGTTCGTTGCCACTGGATTTTTACCTTAAGGAGAGCAGAATACATACCAGTAAAAGTCAGTGGTGACTCCAACTTCATAAGGGCAACATCATTGTCTTTAGAATCTGTGTCGTAATCGGGATGGGAAATAATCAGTTGCACTCTGTATCCACTTCTGAAGAGCATCTCATCCTGATTCAGAATCCCAGCATAAACCCTCCAGCTGTGTGGGTCAGAAAACCGTCTGTAGAGAAAAGAAAGGTTAGAAGGTTTGCTTCTGTGGTAACAAGACATGGATTATGACCTTCAAATCATTGTCTTCAGGAATTGCAGTCAAATGTACAAGAATGCACGTGCATTTGACTACCATTTCTGAAGAATTAGATAAACAAGTTGCAAGACATCCAACTTTAGGAAAGCTTGACTCTAATTTCATAAATATACCCAAAAAATCTTTGAAATGGGTTAAGTATCACTGTCCATCCCATTATGTCACTCAGCACAACAAATTAAGTCTGAGACTGCAACACTGAAGTCTATTGATTTCCATGGCTGAGGGATCAAGGAGTTATTTCTGAGGTCTCACATGTCAGTGGTATCACTCACCTGTTCTACCCAAAGCACACGGGGAAGCAGAAGCCAAAATTAATAAAAGCATGATCTAGTGAGGGAATTTCATTATCATGAAAATGCCAGGATTTTTTTTTTTTTTGGCTTGGTTTTGGTGGTGATGGGTTTTTTTTAACATTAGGCATGCTTGCTCGATGCAGTTTAAATAGTTTCCTGTGCTCCAGCACAGTTTACAAATGCTTAATAGAAAATTTCCCATAAGTGTTAAAACTCCCTGCATGAGAACTGTCAAGGGAGGAGTGCCTGCAAGTCATCCCACCTCCAAAAAAAGAAAAAAAACAAATCAAGACTGAAAACCAGCTCTGTGCCAGCTACAGCTTGGTTGCCATTCCCAAAGCTTTTGCATACTACAGAGCTCAAATCATACGACAAAGGAGGGATAAGATCACCACACAAAAATAAAACACTTGCATTCCTTCCTCAAGGTTAAGGACAAAGATATTTTTCCTTGCCAACCAACATTAAAAATGTTTTGCTTTGTGGGTTTTCCCTCCAACAGAAGCAGCCACCTTTTAAACATATTCTGCCACCGTACACAAGGTACCACAGCACCCTCAAGTCTCTTTTATAGGTTAAAAATGTACAAAGCATCAGCTATTTTTCTTGTTGATGGCTACATAAAGTGCTGCTTGGATAGGTGTAAATCCACATTCAATACTGACTTGGACTTTACTACCCTGTGGCACGGAGATATGAGGAAATAAATGGTAGAGCTATCTTCAAATTGATCATATCTACAGTAGTGTACTTGAGGGTTTGGGAATAGTTTTTTTCCATTTTTCTTCAGGGTTTCTCACAGTTCAATTCAATACCTTCACGAAAACATTGTACTGTGTGGTGTTAATTTTGGTGCCTTGAAATTTACATCCTAAATTGGGTGGGTACCTGCGTCCAACACCACCACCTCATTTAATTTCCACCTTTAACATGTAAAATCAGGCTTTCTTCCTGCAGAAAGCAGACAAGACGACCTGCAGCCGGAACAAATTTTGCCCTAATACCTCAAGCCCGTACTGCTGCACAGACAAAACGCTGTGTACCTCACACCTGCAGGCGAGTTTTAACGCAGAAAGTCGGGAGGCTTAGATAATTTTGAGCATTTCAGCCCACAGCAGGGGAGATGGGCAGCTGGGAGAGGGGCAGGGCTCACCCTTCCACGCAGTGTGCCGCCGTCACGATCCACTGGCGGGTGATGATGGAGCCCCCGCAGACGTGGGTGCCCTCCACGTGCAGGCTGACCTGCCACGGCCACTGCCCCAGCACAGCCCCGCTGCCGCCCACGATCCTGTTCATGATGCTCGCGCTCTTGGTGGACAGGCCGCACTCTGGGGAGTCAGTCACGCACACGGGTGTCGGTCAAAGAGAGAGCTGGAAGATGCATCCCCCCACCTTTGCACGACACCACAGCTCAGGCTCCGGGATCCCAGTTCTCCCACAGACCCCCCCCTATCAAATTGCAAATATTATTTGGCAGCTGCTGCCCTTGGTTCACCACAAACTACAAAACAAGAGGTTCATTACACCTTTCAAGCATCTCTGGTGAGACACACACCAGTTCTGATCACTGCCATGTAAGGAAGACATGAAGCCCTTAGAGAGCGTCCAAAGGAGGGCAATGAAAACAGTGAAGGGCCTTGAGGGGAAGCCTTGAAGAGCAGCTGAGGGCACTTGGCGTGTTCAACTGGAGAAGAAGAGACTGAGGGCACTGCAGTTACAGCTTCCTTGGGAGAGGAAGAGGAGGGGCGGGCACTGATATCCTCTCTGTGGGGCCCATCCAAAGACAGCAGGTATTTATGGAGATTCAAAACGATTTCCCAGCCAGAGCATTTCAAAGCGCGAACCAGCAGAAGCGTGAAAACCACAGCGACTCACCGATGCAGCGCAGAGAAACCACACTCCCTGAGGCACAGGAATCACTGCAGGAGAAATAAAAAAACAAACAGGATCTTAGGCACACACAGTGAAGGAAATGGTGAGAAAAGCCTACCCTTCAGCTGCTTCCTACCCTTTCCAGCTACGTGCCCTGCCTTCAGCCTCATCTTCCTGCTGAGGGTTCCCTCCTTTCTTCGCTCTCTCCAGCTACCCTACCAGCAACCATCTGGCCTCCACCATTTCTTGCATTCACCAAAACTGTCATGTGGAAGACTGAAGACGCCAGTACAGAAGGTTTGTAAGCCTATTGAGGAGCGAGATGAAGAACAGCATGAGGAGAAGCTCAGCTGATTTATG